TGCAGTTTAAGGCAGGGGGGAGCATCTTTTCTTCTTGTTTAAACAATATCCTCCTCCTCGTCCCCCTCCTCCTTCTCCTTTTCTTCCCCCTCCTCCTCCTGCCCTTCCTCCGCCTCCTGCGCCTACTCCTCCTTCCTACTTCATCCCTGCCTCATCCTCCTTTTTCCTCTCTCCTCTCTCTTCTCTCCTGACTCCTCTCTCCTCTCTCCTCTCCTTTCTCCTCTCTCCTCTCTCCTCATTCTCCTGCTGCTGCTGCTTCTGCTGCTGCTGCTGCTGCTGCTCATCCTCCTCATCCTTCTCTTCCTCCTCCTCCTCCTCCTCCTCCTCCTCCTTCTCCTTCTGCCTCCTCCTCCTCCCTCCCTTCTCCTCCTCCTCCTCCTCCTCCTCCTCCTCCGTTCCGACGGACGGCTGCGCCAGGCCTTGTCCTCGTCGTCCTCCTCCTCCTCCGCCTCCTCCTCCTCGTCCTCCTCCCCCCTCCTCTCTCCTCCTCCTCCTCCTCCTCCTCCTCCTCCTCCTCCTCTCCTCCTCCTCCTCCTTCTCCTCCTCCTCCTCCTCCTCTCACCTCCTCCTCCTCCTCCTCCTCCTCCTCCTCCTCCTCCTCCTCCTCCTCCTCCCCCTCTGGTCCCACCGGCGCCGTCGTCAACACCGGCTGCGCCGCCCCCGTTGCCAGACAGTTCCTCAGCTCGCTCAAGCGCGCGCTCCTGGCGCTAGCTCAGGGCGTCGGGGCAGAAAAAACGACATAAACATAAACTTTCGGCGGTCCTCCGCGGATTTCCTGGATCGGCGCTGGACCCGTCTCTCTGGCGCGCGCCAGGGGTGGCGCCCGAGGCGCCGCCAGGGGATCGGCGACGACGGACGACGCACGACGACGACGACGACGACGACGACGACGACGACGACGACGACGACGACACACAGCGACGGCGGGCGTAGGCGGATGACAACGACGACGAGTTCGAGGGGGATCAAGCAAATTGCGCCAGAATGTTGCGGCATTTTGCCAAAATGCTTCAGAGGGTGTCAGAAGCCGCCAGACTGTTTCAGAATGCTTCAGAGTCTTATGCGGCCCCTGAGCGTCGGACCCCGACAAGCATCCGGTGCCGGTAGTTGATCCCCAGATCACAATCTATTCTGAGCGCCTTTAGACTACAAGAGCCGTGAGCTTCGTACTTGAATGGTAACCGCCTTCCTACTTCATGCTTCGAACGGCCTGTAGGGTGCACACATACTCCCCAAATATCACCTGGGGATTTGTATGAATATGGACACCACACTTGTTCCTGGGAGGTCTTGGTTGTGGGTGTGTCAGGGGTGGCGCGGTCGTTGTGCATTTTTCGAGGGGTTGCAAATGCGGCCCCCGGACCTCCCCGGATCTCCAAACGCGTTCAGAGTTCCGTGAGCACTGACGGCCGCTGCGCAGTTGTTCGAGGTGAACATTGGAGCGCGCGCACACCAGCAGCGCCGGAGAAAAAATCCTCAAGGGCCCAGAGCATGTTCATGCTGCATGAACATGTGACCATGTGTATCATCGGCGATCGACGTTCTATGCATGCCCTCTCTGAGGGCCCTCGACTGGAAGGCGGGGGGGGGCAGGGCATGGATCATTAAGAATCCTGTTTTCCGAGGCTCGACCGGTCCCGCCACTGCGCCTGTGTTGGTGGTATGAAACCTCGGGGATGTCCATTGGGATCCCGCGAGGGCACTTCTCGCGGTCTTCCGGGTGGCAGCGTCGAAGGCTCGCGATGGCCGTTTTTGGATTTCTGTTGATCCTTTTGGGGGCTGCGTGCGGCTTTTGGGTGCCTATTGGGGGCTTCTTGGGGCCCATTGGGTGGATTTTTGGGGCCTCTTGGGAGCTTCTTCGGGCGGATAGTAGGAAGGCCTGTTGAGCCGTCTCGGAGCGCTCTTGGGTTGTCACGTGGGCCCCTTAGGAGCCTTTTGGACCGCCCTGGAGCGGTCTTGGCGGCCTCTTGGACGGTCGTCAGCGCCGTGAACGCCCAAAAAACGGTTATGCTGAAGGCGTACGTCTTCGAAACGGATGTCGACGATTTTGACGTCTTGGTGGCTCGCCGGCATCATGGAGGCAGTGTCGAAGCCTGTTGGCGGCCGTTTGGGGCCCTCCGTGGCGCCTCTTGGGAGCCTTTTGGGGCCTTTTGGGCGCCTCTTGGAGGCCTCTTCGGGCCTCTCGGGGACTTCTCGGGCCCCCTTGGGGGCGTCTTGGGGCGGAAGGCTTCGATTTTCGGTTCGGGCTCCCCTTCTTGGGCCCCTCTTGAGGCCGACGTCGAGCCCTCTTGGGCCTTCTGGGGCGTCTCCTGGGCCGTCTTGGCGCCGTCTTGGGCTCTCTTGGAAGGCTCTGGGGCCCTCTTGGGGCCCTCTTGAGGCGGTCTGAGCGGCCTCGTGGGCCGTTTCCAACGCCGTGAAGGCCGAAGAAGCGTATATGTCAAAAATATGCGTTTTCCCGTAGGAATGTGACGATGTTGGCCTCTTGGGCCTCTCTTCACAAGCCTGTTGGAGGCTTCTTGGAGCGGCGTATGGGCGGCCTCTTGGGTCGTCTTGGGCCCATCTTGGGCGTCTTCGAGCGATCATTTTGCGACTTTTTGCTCTCTTGGGCCGTCTTGGGGGTGTCTTGGGAGGCTCCAAGCCGAGCCTGGCGAGCCCAGACCGCCCCGGGGGACTTCGGTCCGGGGTCGTCCCGGGCGAGGGGGGGGGGGTCAAATTGCCGGTTTGGGGTCCTGGGGGGGGGGGCTTATGGGGGGAGAACAATCTCACACGCCTAGAGACCCACAAGGGGTCGGCGGACTCTGTGTTCGCATCCTGCTTGTCGCCAGTCCTAATCGCACTCCTGCGTGTCAGTCTTACTTCTTCATCTTCCTCGCTCGACTGATCTGCTTCGCATGCTTGTGCCTCCTCGTCCTCATTTGCAAGCTCCTGCTCTCTGACGTAGGCATTCGCAATACTGAGGTCCTTCTCAATCTTCGCGATGTCCTTCTCCAACTCCTCCTGCTGCTTCACCATGTTCGCAAGCTTCGTGGCAAGATTGTCCCTCGTCGCCTTTAGCTGATCCATCTTCTTCTTTTGTGGCTGCATCAACTGCTGTATGCTATGCTTGAGGGCTGGTGTGTCTTTGGTTTCTTCGCCGACCTCCTGATTGTCCCTCTGCCTCGCTACGGCTACCCCCGCCAGGACCCGTACCTCTTTCTCCACTTTGTTCCTGAAGGCCCTCTGCATGGCGTAGTCGGTCGGTGGCTCCTCAAATCTTTTACTCTTCCTCGCCTCGAGTTCTCGCGTGGGGGGGGGTCTGGTCTATGATGTACTGTATATCCTTTTCCCCTCTGCTTGTTCATGTTGTCCTTTTTCGGCCAGCCACTTCTCTCGATCTCCTCCCACTTCCTGACTTGTCCTTTCCATGGCTTCCCACGCTTGCACCACCACTGCGTCGTAACATTCCACTTCGCACATCCGCTGCATTTCCATGTCTGCTAAAGGTGCCTGTCCAGTGGCCATATATTTCCCTTCTGATAGCTCTTCTGGTCCTGAGCTGCGTGGTGCCTCCAGAGTAGTTTTCCTTGACTGCTGCCAGCCTGAGCAGTAGCCTGGCCTCTCCTCTCTTATCACGCCGCCTCCGAGGTGCTGCTCCCTCTGGGGCGCCTCCTCTGCTTGTCCGCGGCGCCCTGCCGCTGGGTCCGCCTCGCGGCCGCTCGCCAAAATGGCTGGCGCGGCACGCGTGCGCCCCGGCCCGGGGGCTGGCCGATGCGCGGCCGGCGCCCTGCCACCACGATCGGTCGGGCGGCAGGCGCGACCGAGCCCCGATGGATCGGTCGGGATCGGCGGGCCCCGTCAGAGGCCGAATGGGCTTCCTCCTCCTCCTCCTCCTCCTCCTCCTCCTCCTCCTCCTCCTCCTCCTCCTCCCCCTCCTCTTCCTAGGGTGCCCGAAAATCGCGCCGAGCGGCCGCCAGGGACCCGAGTTTGGGACCCTTCTCTCGCCGTGGAGCAAGCAGGGCGGCGCGTTTTTGGCGGCTCTCGTCGGCCTCCGTGGACCCTCACGGGACCCCAGGGCCGTCAAAAGTCGATGATCCTCAGGACGTGTGTTGGTCCAATGTGTGTTCGCCCCTTTTCAGCCCAACCAGTAGATCATTACATCGCCTGCGTCGTATCGAAGGGCCACGATGGACAGACATACGTTGGGGCTAACCCACGTGCTGAGGATCATCGACAACGACGGCTCGGGACAGGCATCGGAAACAAATAGCGAACTGTCGTGCCACATCATATTGCCCCCTCCCCCATGCTCAACGTTGCCGGGGGATCTGATGTGCACTTCGCCGCGGTCGTCCCCCGACACGCCAATTCGTAATTTCTGGGGAGAGGGGGGGGGGGCCTTCCCTAATTGTTTCCGCCGACTGGATGGAGCAGCAGCAGTCCCAGGGGAAAGGTCCAGACCTCTGGGGAACCCGGGCGCAACGCTGTGAAAAATCAGGCGATCGCAAACATGGATCAAGGGGGCGTGGATTAGCAACGGGTCCCGTTTTCATGGGAAATCGTGGATTTCCGCAGCCGAACGAGGCGGCACCGGCAGCATTTTGGGGAGGGCACCTCCCCCGATCCATGCTTGCGCGCCCCCGACAAAAAGGATCACGACGTCGGGGGCCTGTAAATCGGGCCGCCGCGAGGAACCCGGCAGCGTGCCACTTTCGGAGACATACAGTGGAGACCCATGACAAGAAACACCCTGCTTGCCTCCAGGGTGCCCCTGGGTTTCTTGGGTTTCGGTGGTTTTGCCATGGAAAGCGTGACGCTCTCGCACCAAAAACCAGCGGACGTCCCGGGGTCTCAGGGTTGGGTTTTTGTGGAAGGTTTCTTGTGGACTAGCTTCCACTGTAGCCTCCTCCTTCCCCCCCATAGGTATCGGTGCGTGTGATGTCCGTTCGTGAGATGGGCTCCTCGCGGCGGCGTGCCATCGACCCTGCCGCTCTGCCCCCCAGCAGTCGAGGGTGGCCTCCTAGGAGTGCATCCTGGAGCACAGCCTCAGCCACATCAGGCAGGGCCGCCTACGACCCGGCGCGATGCGATTCGATTCGCCAGCGTTCGCCAGCGGGGGCCGCGATTCCGATTCGGTTCGATTCAGACCGATTCTCCAGCATCGGCCAGTGCCACACAGAGCCAGGTGCAGCGATCCAGTTTCGATTCGATTCGGGACGATTCGTTGGCGATCCGATTTGTTTCCGACCCGACCCGATTTCGCGATTCGATCCAGCGCGGGCCTGTCAGGGTGTCTGGCACGCCGCTGGATCTGCGCGCCGCCGCGCCGCACGACCCCCCGGTCGTGCTCTTCGCCTACGCGGACCAGGCGAAGTACCGGGACTACCTGCGGCTGGCGATGGGAGGAGGAGGAAGCGGCACAGGCAGAGACTCCCGGAGGTCCGCGAGGGCTTCTGGGATCGGCGCTGGACCCCTCCCTCCATGCCGCGCGGAGCGCGCCAGGGTCGGCGCCGGAGGCGCCGCCGGGGGGGGGCTCCAGGGCCGATCCAAGAAGTCCGCGCGGGAGTCCTGGTTCTGCCGCCGTATGCCCAGGTAGGTCTGTTGCTGCCCCTGGTTGTTGCGGGGGGCCGCTCTTCGTTCCTCCTCCTCCTCCCCCTCCCCCATCCTCCTGCCCCTCCTGTTTCGTCGTGCTCTCCTGTCTCTCTTCTCGCCCCACTTTGTCCTAGAAGAGGATGCGATCTCATCAGCCTCTGGTTTGCGCGAAGCCTCACGAGTCCACATCCGGACAGCTTCCGCTCCCTCCAGGCGAGGGAGGGCGCGACCTCCGCGGAGCTCCTGGAGCGGCTGGGCCGCAAGGGGCGCCCGCAGCAGACGCCGCTGTTCGGCCGGGGGGCGTACCTCACCTGCAAGGACTGGGACCTCCTCCTCCTCCTCCTCCTCCTGAGACGGGGGTCGATGCAAGCGTCGACTGCACGCAAGAGGGACTCTTCGCCAGAGGGACCCTCGCCGCTTGGCTCTGGCCACCTTGCGCCACCTCAGTCCGCGCACCAAAGGTCACTCTTGCCTAGGGCCACTCTCGCGTGTGGCCGACAGCGGGGGTCAGCCAGAGCGCCGCACCTTGCAGGATACTGCAAAGCCAGGGTTGCACTGACCTGGCTTACAGCTGGCACGAGGGTCAAAAGGAATCGTAGTTTTGGAGGGGTGCCCGTCTGTTCTTCGCCGTTGGGCTCTCCACCTTGGAATGCTCTTCGTTGTGGATGTCTCCATGGGGCCTCGGGCTCTCGGCGAAGGTTTCCGCGTTCTTGATCCGCGCTCCTGTGACCCTGTTTCGGCTGCAGCGTGCGGGATCCTACAGGATCTTGTAGGTTCCTGCACAGCCCGACTGACCCGGGCTTGCATCGACCAGGGTCAGTGTGTCCCCGAAGTTGGGGAAGGGGGAGAAGTGGAGGAGGAGGAGGAGGAGGAGGAGGAGGTGAGGAGGAGGAGGAGGAGGAGGCGGAGGAGGAGGTGGAGGAGGAGGAGGGGGAGGCTCTAGTTGCGATAAATGCTGCGTGCAGCTGGTTTCGGTCCCGCCGCCAGGCGCTCTCCTCGATGCACTGGCGCCTCCAGCGCTTGGAGGTGCCAGGAAAAACCTCTGCGTGAGCTGATTCGCCAATCCCTCGCTGGAGTGACCTTCCCTGAGATCTTGGCGTTGCAATGTTTTCACATCGGGCGTTTTCGCTCAAGTTCGGGCCCCAAGACCCTCACGGATCGATGCGGCTCGAAAAATGACGCAGAACGTCCAGGGCTCTGGTCGTGAATTTTCTTGTCGGCGAGCGAGGAGAGGAAGTTTGATGGAGAAGGCCTTCTCAGAAGGCGGCGGGACTTCTCAGAAGCCCTCGCGCCTTCTGAGAAGTGTTTTGTGTCTTCGGGGAAGGCTCATAAAACTTTTCGGAAGGCCCAGGGACTTCCGAGCCTTCTGGGAAGGCCCGCCCCTTCTCACTTCCCCCCCTCGCTCGCCGCCGATGTTTGCCATGTTGCATGTTGGTTGCAACGTCGGAGCCGAGGCCCGGCGAGGGCCCCCCGGGGCCGAAATTAGCCAAAAGCCTCCCGTCCTGATGTTTCAACGACCTGTACGACGCGATCATGTCTGGGTTGGAACATCCTGCTCTCAGGGTTCGGGCTCTCAGGAGGAGGAGGAGGAGGAGGAGGAGGAGGAGGAGGGGGGGGGGGAGGACGACGAGGGGGGGGAGGAGGAGGAGAGGGAGGAGGAGGAGGAGGAGGAGGAGGAGGAGGAGGAGGAGGAGGAGGGGGAGGAGGAGGGGGCGCGGGGGGGGCCCGAGCCCGCATCGCGCAGGGATCGGCAGGCCGCACGCGCCAGAGGCCGCTCCTGCCTCCCAGGGGCTCCGACGTCGCGGCTCTTCCGCAGGGTGCCCCGACGCGATCGCGTCGTAAAAAAGTCGGGACGGGAGGTTTTCGGCGTCGTGAGCGTCGTATTTTCGGCCCCGGGGGGGGCCCTCGCCGAGCCGCCCCCCGAGAGCCGCGCACCAAACCCTGAGATCAGGATGTTCCAACCCGGACATGATCGCGTCGTAAAAGTCGCTGAAACATCAGAACAGATTTTTTGACTATTTTCGGCCCTGGGGGGCCCTCGCCGGGCCTCGGGACCGTCAAAAAACGACTCAGGACGAAAAACCGGTCCCAGGGAAAAGGTCGGGGGTTCCAGGGACGCCGTCCTGAAGAAATCGGGACGTCGCATGTCTGGGTAGAGATCCTGACCCCATCCCTGGGACCTGCTTTTCGTCCTGGGTCGTTTCGTTGACGGTCCTCGGGCTTGGTGGGGTCCTCTGGATGCCGAAAGCAGCCAGAAGCCGCTCGTTGGGGTCACTTTTTGCGTGTCGCCGGCAGGACCCCAGCGACTTCGCGTCGAAGGAGAAAGCGCTGTGGAACAACCACTGGCCGAGCCAGCGGGAGCTGGACGACGAGGAGAGCAGCGTTTGGTGGGGATGAGTTCAGAGGGCGATGGGAAGTTTGGGGGGGATAGCCCTGAGATCCGACGTGCGAACAAAATAACAAAATCGCGAAAAATCACGCCCAGAGCCCCGGACTTCATCTTTCTGCTTAATTTTTCGAGCCGGATCGATTTGTGAGGGCCCCAGGGCCCGAAATTGGGCGAGAACGCCCGGCGTGACAAAAATTGCAACGCCAGGATCTCTGGGATAGGCTCGAGGTTGGAGGTTCTCCTGAGGTTTCCAGCCTCGGGATGTTCTCCGGCAGCTGCGCCTCGCCGAGAGGCGTCCCTGGGGGTGCCCGGATCTCGTCCCGCGCAGGCGCCCGGGAGAACCGGGATTCTCTGGGCCCCTTGGATGGGGTCCGAGCAGATGGGGTCGGAAGATCGCGCCGCGTCGCCGATGCATCGGCGATGCTGCTGGATGTCCAGACCCCTCGAGTCATGAAAACTCGCGACGGGACGTTTTTCGCTATTTTCAGCCTCTGGGGGCCGTTACCGGACCTCGGGACCGTCAAAAAACGAATCAGGATGAAAAACCGGTCCCAGGAAATGGGTCTGGACCTAGGGGTTGCGTCATGGAAAACCATATGACGTCGGGGGTCTCGATGTTGGGCCCGATTTTCTCCACGCCGATGGCGCCGGTGCCTCGCCAATGTCGAGGCGTCGCCGACGCACCAGCGATGTATCGCTGATGCATCGCCGATGCGGCGCGATCCTCCGACCCCATCTGCTCCGACCGCATCTGGGAGGCCTTTAGCCAGAAAAAGCTGGCCCGAAAACCAGCGGGGGCGGGCGCTAGGCTCGGGGGGCGAGGCATCGACCCCCCAAAGTCGCCCAGTCCTCGCCAGCGGGGGCCGCCGACACCCCACCCCGCCCAGAAGGTGCAGAAGGTTCGCTCTCGGGGGCCTGTCGCCGATGTGTCGCCGATGCCAGCTCGATGTCTCCCCCCTTAGCGGGCCCCTCTCTCCCTCGCCTCCGGCGCCGCTTCTGGCGCGCCTCGCGCGCCAGGAGAAGGAGGAGGAGGAGGAGGAGGAGGATGAGGACGAGGAGGAGGAGGAGGAGGAGCGAGAAGGAGGAGGAGGAGGATGAGCGAGAAGGAGGAGGAGGAGCGAGAAGGAGGAGGAGGAGGAGGTTTTGGATTGCGACGCTGTTGAAGCATATAGCCTGCCAGCAAAGATTGGCACGCAGCTTGCAGAGACAATTCAGCACAGTAGCAGCTGTACTAACCGTCGAGCTTCGAAGACTCTGCACGGGCACCTAAGGTTACAGATCAGTGCGCATTAAAACTTTCAACCGTGGTCAGGTCAGCGGTAGCGGCACAGAAACGCGGGGCGGTCCTGCACCGATGCTGGCGACGCGGCCCTGATCGACAAGTCAGTTCAATCCAGGTTGTACACAACAAGGGTGAGAGGAGCACGCTCGGCATGCGTGCGCGGTTAACAGACAAAATGTCTCAACAACTCCTCTGCAACTGCACCTCAGCTCCTCATCCTAACGGGCGGAGGCACGGAATACCTGGCGGGCGGGGGGAGGGCAAGCACACATCGCGTTCGGACCTGAACAGCAGGACTTAGCGACTTGTGTATCCTAGAGGCTCGCACTGGAAACGTCGGCCGCTCGACTCTCCCCCGAGTGTACCCGCCGTGGACGGCGTGGGTGGGCGGCGGCCGCGCGCGGGCGCACGCTGCTACTCTGCCGCGCCGCTGGTCGCTCCCAGCTCTCTCTGCATCCGTCTCCTGGAAGAGGGGGAGCAAGGCGAGGGAAGCGAAAGGAGGAGGGATCAATGGGAGGCGCGACGTCGGAAACGTCTCGAACCAATGGCCCAACGGTCATGGAAATGGAATGGGGGGACTGGCTCGTCGAGCTGACGCTGGTCTGGGTGAGGCTGGCTGCTGCACGCATCTGCTGCTGAATTGCCCTCCGTCCCGCATTAAACCTGCCCGACCAATCCACCCACAAAGCTGACTAGTCTCGCGCTTGGTCAAATATCCCAACACCGAATTCAGGCTGCAACGTCCAAGGGGCTATCTGCTTGGCCCGACGCAGCCTGCGACGCTCCTTGGCCTGCGCTCGTTTGGATGCAATGCGTTGCCGAATATCCTCAGTGAGCTCTACTGGCTGTGGTGGGGGGAGGCACACAAGGGGAGAGAGGGCAGGGACAAGGGGGCTCGATGTCCTCCGGCTGAGGAGTGCTGTTGCCTTCAACAATGGCTAAAATTTCAACATACTCTTGCTCGTCGGAAGCCTCGATAGGACCGGGGTCCCTTGAAGTCGCTTCCTGGTCGAAAACGGTCCCTGGTGCAGGCTCAACTTCTGCGTCCGACGGCGTGGGTGGTAAAAACCTATGCCGTTCGGGGTCCGCGCGGACCCGTCCTGGACGGGGGCAAGCAAAATCTGGGGCCCAGGTCTCGTCTGTCCTGAGGTCTGGGTCGCATTCTACATAGAAAGCCCTAAGCGACCCACGGAGTTGCTCCTCCTCTTCTCTCATATCCTCTGGCCATTCCCCTGCTTCGCATGACGTATGCATGTGGTTAGCAGCGTCCATGATACCGTCCGCAAAGGACCTGGCACAACGCTGGAGGGTAGGTCTTCTTCTTGGCTGTACGCCACTCATTGCGAGCCCTGTCGAAGCCCATAAGCACCTCATGGGTCCCACGGCCGTGCGAGCAGCGTCCTCTCTCTGGTGTCACGCATAGACGGTCGTGCAACGTGCCCGTTCGCAGTGCGAGGATGCGCGTGGGTGCTCGTGCTGCCCGACCGGGCTCACACTGATCAAAGTCGGTCGTTGTTGTCGCTGGGGAGGACGCCACTGCCCTGAGCGCTGGGCATGAGAAAGAGCCGACTGCCTCTGCTCGCCAACTAGCTGGCATAGGGTGTTCCATCCAACAACTGGTCCCGACTGTCAGATGCACTGCGAAAAGCTCGATCATAGCCCCTAGTAGCTCGTTCCCTACCCTGAGCTGTTCTATCTGTCGTGGGGTCACAACCAAGAGTCCCCAAATATCGTCGTGGGAGCGCAACGGTAGGGGCCCCATGTTGGGGGCCCATCGGACTGTTGACCACGTCTCGCATGGGGTCCCCCCGCCTGACAGCACCACCCGTCGTGCACGAATGTGTTCCTTCCAAACTTCCAAGGGCTCGCGACGCATCATATTACCTAGTACGGGGTCGATGACGATGTCGCTCGATAGTACACTGACCGAAAGGAGGAGGAGGAGGAGGAGGAGGAGGAGGAGGAGGACCCCCCTGCGTCGTCGCGCTCGCCGCCGCCGCCGCGGCCGCTTCCTTGTCGTCGCCACTGCCGCCGCCGCCGCCGCCATCCTCGCGAGGGCGGACGCGCGCAGCGAGCCTTAAGTCGGTCCTGTCCCCCTACAGGAGGAATGTTCAAAAGTAATTAAAAAATGATCTGGGGACGATTTTTGTAGTTCTGGCTATGTTTGAGCATTTTGGGATTTTCCTCTCGTCCGAGATCTGCCTGTAGGGGGACACTCCCGATCTAAAGCCAGCCCTCGACGCTGGGCTCCACGAAGTCTACGGACGGCAGCTGTGTGGTGGTGTGTCGCTGCGCCGGGTCTGGCCCACCACGCTTCTGGGGCCACACGCTATCCACTTCCCGGTCCCCCGGCGTCAACGTTCGGAGCCTTCCCGAGCTTCCCGCCCCGCGGAGCGGAGCCACATGACGTCCGCTTGCAAGACATAGCGTATCGCTGGGGCCGCCGCGGCGACACGCTACCTAAAATTTCCCGATCGTATGCTTGTGCCGTTCTCTGTTCCTCCAGTCTATTCGGCGGCGCTCCCGGGGGGGAAAGTGCGAGGAGGCAGGCCTTCGCAGGAGGCGACGGGGCTTCCCAGAAGCCACGCCGCCCTCTGAGAAGCCCCCCCGCCCCCTCACTTGCCCCCCCAGGCGCGCCGCCGATTTACGCTCGCGACATTCTTCGAATGAGCAAAATAAGGCACAGACATAAATTGTCGGAGGTCCGCGCGGATTTCTTGGATCGGGGCTGAGCCCACCTCGCTGGCGCGCGGAGCGCGCCAGGGTCGGCGCCAGAGGCGGAGGGGGAGGGGGAGGAGGAGGAGGAGGAGGAGGAGGAGGAGGAGGAGGAGGAGGAGGAGGAGGAGGAGGAGGAGCAAGAGCAAGGAGGAGGAGGAGGAGCGAGGAGGAGCGAGGAGGAGCGAGGCGCAGTGAGGCGCAGCGAGGCGCTGCGAAGAGGTGCGAGGAGCGGTTGCCCTCTCTGTGTGGCTCTGGGGTTAGGGGACCGTCGTCGCCGCCGTCTCCATCCCGCTCTATCTCACCCAATTCCCTATCGGGGTTTCGGCCATCTGCTGTAAAGCCACAAACGGAAGACCGAGGAGGAGGAAGAGAAAGAGGAGGAGAAAGAAGAGGAGGAGGAGCGAGCGAGGAAGAGGAAGAGGAGGAGGAACGAGGAGCGAGGAGCGAGGATCATAAGGAGAAGGAGGAGGAGAAGGAGACGGAGGAGGAGGAGGAGGACTACGAGGAGGACGAGGAGGCAGGAGGAGGCAGGAGGAGCATGGAGGAGGATGGAGGAGGAGGAGGAGGAGGAGGAGGAGGAGGAGAGGAGGAGGAGGGAGGAGGAGGAGGAGGAGGAAGAGCAAGGAGCAGGAGTAGGAGGAGGAGGAGGAGGAGGAGAAGGAGCTAGGAAAAGCGAGGAGGAGCCAGGAGGAGCGAGGAGCGGTTGCCCTCTCTGTGTGGCTCTGGGGTTGGGGGGGCTCTCGTCGCCTCCGTTTCCATCCCGCACTATCTCGCCTAGTTCCCTGCCGGGGTTTCGACCATCTGCCCTAAAGCCACGAACGAACGAACAAAGAGGATGAGGAGGAGGAGGAGGAGGAGGAGGACCAGTGTGATTCCAAGATTAATCAACGATATTAGAATGAACCCTCCCTCCAAGCTCCCTCTTCCAGTGGGGGAACTGCCTCGTTGGAAGACAACCGTTTGAAGACCCTGATGCATGCCAAAACATTGTTCTCGGGATTCCAGCGCCACGGATCAACCTGACTGTTGCGTTTTGACGATACTGAATCGTACCAGAACGCCATTCTTGGGACTTCAAGGCAGCGAATCCACGTAACGGTTGCACCCGCATAATCATGAGTCCTTTCGAAACGCAGTTACGTTGATGATGGGAATACGTAAAACTCTTGCAAAGTTTGTAAACGAATATGCGCGGCGCTAGGGCGAGAGCCACATCTCGAAAAGGAACCGCCCTCAATCCGTGAAATCCTTGCACATGTGTAGAACGAATGTGCGCCGCGCTAAGGCGAGAGCCACTTTTTGAAAACGACCCGCCCCCAATCCGTAAGTCGCCAATTGTTGAGCGTCCGAGTTATCAAGGATGAGGAAGTCTCAGGCGAAACGTCCGGCACGCCTTAAAAACCGGCCTCGGAGGGCGACAGGGAGAAGTGATTCCCAACCTTCATGTGTTGGGCATTCGCTTTGAATAGAGCACTGTGGTCCTCAACCTCCCTCCTCCTTCTCCTCGTGCTCCCGCCTCCCCCCTTCTCCCTCCTCTTCCTCTCGCCTCCCTCCTGCCTCGTGCCCGCGGTCTGCGAACCTGTCGCCACTTTCGCTGGCTCTTGGGAGGTCAAGCGGAGAGGTATCCCACGGGGATCACCCCGAGACCTCGCCGTCCCTTGGGGGGCTGCGATCTGCGAACCTGTCGCCACTTTTGTGAGCGCCTGGGAGGTCCAGCGGAGGAGCGTTCCACGCAGATCACCATGAGACCTCGCCGTCCCCTGGGGCGGCTGCGATCTGCGAGCCTGTTGCCACTTTCGCGGGCGCCTGGGAGGTCCAGCGGAGGGGTGTCCCACGGGGATCACCACGAGACCTCGCCGTCCCCTGGGTTGTTGCGATCTGCGAACCTGTCGCCTCTCTCGTGGGATCCTGGAGGGTCCAGCGGAAGGGTGTCCCACGGGGATCACCATGAGACCTCGCCGCCCCGTGGGTTGTTGCGATTTGCGAACGTGCTGCCACTATCGTTGGCGCCTGGGAGGTCCAGAGGAGGCCTGTCCCACCGGGATCACCATGAGCACTCGCCGTCCCTTGGGGCGGTTGCGATCTGCGAACCTGTCGCCACTTTCGTAGGCTCCTGAGAGGTCCACCGGAGGGGTGCCGTGAGTCGCACGGGGATCACCATGAGCCCTCGCCGTCCCTTGGGGGGCTGCGATCTGCGAACCTGTCGCCACTTTCGTGGGAGCCTGGGAGGTCCAGCGGAGGGGTGTCGTACGGAGATCACCATGAGACCTCGCCGTCCCCTGGGGGGCTGCGATCTGCGAACCTGTCGCCACTTTCGTGGGATCCTGGGAGGTCCAGCGGAGGGGTGTCCCACGGGGATCACCATGAGACCTCGCCGTCCCTTGGGGGTCTGCGATCTGCAAACCTGTCGCCACTTTCGTGGGCGCCTGGAAGGTCCAGCGGAGGAGTGTCGTACGTGGATCACAATGAGGCCTCGCCGTCCCCTGGGTTGTTGCGATCTGCGAACCTGTCGCCTCTCTCGTGGGATCCTGGAGGGTCCAGCGGAGGGGTGTCCCACGGGGATCACCATGAGACCTCGCCGTCCCTTGGGGGGCTGCGATCTGCGAACCTGTCGCCACTATCGTTGGCGCCTGGGAAGTCCAGCGGAGGCCTGTCCCACCGGGATCACCATGAGCTCTCGCGCCCGCTAGGGAGGTTGCGATCTGCGAACCTGTCGCCACTTTCGTAGGCCCCTGAGAGGTCCAGTTGAGGGGTGTCGTACAGGGATCACCATGGGCCCTCGCCGTCCCTTGGGGGGCTGCGATCTGCGAGCCTGTCGCCACTTTCGTGGGCCCCTGGGAAATCCAGCGGGAGGGGTGTCCCACGGGGACCACCATGAGACCTCGCTGCGCTGTTCGATCGCAGATCGCAGCGGGATGGGGCGCCACGGAGCGCATGGCGCTGTTATGTGCCATGCTGCATCGACTCGTCAGTTGTTTCTTGTCCGTAGTGCACTCGAGCACTTGCAGCGCTTAGCGCAGAGCGCTTTGCTGTCATAGCGCGCGTGGCGCTGTTCTGCAATGAGAGCCTAATGCGATGCGCTGTTACTCCCGCGAAGCATGTCTCCAGTTCCCCCCTCATCAGTATGTTTCTACGCCCCCTCGTGGTCGTCTTCCTGCCAAAGATCTGAGTCTTAAGAGTGATGCCGCGAACGGCGGATCCTTCAGTGCTTGCTCTTGTATTGAGCGGTCCAGTGTTTCGTCGCTCATGTGTACAAAAGGGTTGGATACGTGCCCCGGTAGGTTCTTTATAAGGAGCGAGGAGGAACGAGGAGGAGGGGCGAGGGGGAGCAAGAGGCGGTTGCTCTCTGTGTGTGGTTCTGGGGTTGGGGCGCTCTCGTCGCCGCCGTTTGCATCCCGCTCTATCTCGCCTAGCTCCCTGTCGGGGCTTCGACCATCTGCCCTAACGCCACGAACGAACCAACCAACGAACGAACAAGGAGGAGGAAGAGGGGGAGGAGGAGGAGCGAGGAGCGAGGAGAAGAATGATAATGCGAAGCAGAAGGGAAGTAATCATAATACTACTAATAATAATAATACTGATAGTAACAGTAATATTCATAATAATACTAGTATTAATCATGATACTAATACGAATAATAATACTAATACTAATAATAATACTAATAATAATAACGCGAATAATAATAATATTAATAATAATGAAAATAATAATCATAATAATAATAGCAACAATACAAATTAATACTACTAATAACAACAACACTAATATAATAATAATAATAATAATCATAACAAAATAATGCAACCCATAATAACATCAATAACAATACGAATGATAATAGTACGACTGCTAACAATCGTATTAATAATAGTACTAGAATTACCCGTAATAAATAATACTACCACGACTCATAGTACGAATGAGAAGAAGAACACGGATAATAAGGAGAAGGAGAGGGATCAGGAGGAAAAGGAGGATACGAAGGAGGAGGGGGAGGAGGAGGAGGAAGCAGGATGAGGGTGGAGGAGGACGGAGGAGGATGCAGGAGGAGGGAGGAGGGAGGAGGGAGGGAGGGAGGGAGGAGGGGGAGGAGGCAGGAGGGGGAGGAGGAGGAGGAGGAGGAGGAGGAGGAGGAGCCAGGAGAAGCGAGGAACACCGAAGAGGAGCGAGGAGGAGGAGGAGGAAGAGGAGCGAGGAGCGGATGCCCGAAGGAGAAGCGAGGAGCGAGGAGCGGAGGACGAGGAGGAGCCAGGAGGGAGGAGCGAGGAGCGGATGCCCTCGTCGCCGCCGTCTCCATCCCGCTCAATCCCGCCTAGTTCCCTGTCGGGGCTTCGACCATCTGCCCTAAGCCCTAAAGGCACGAACGAACGAACGAGGAGGAAAGGGAGGAGGAGGAGGAGGACGAGGAGGAGGGGGAGGAGCGAGGAGCGAGGAACGAGAAGGAGAAAAAGGAGGAGAATAATGAGAAGAAGGAGAAGGAGAAGGAACAGGTGGAGAAGGAGGAGGAGGAGGATGAGGAGGAGGAGGATTCCAGGTCGATGTCTCTCCACCCCCGAACCGGCCGCTGACGCTCCCCCCATCCAGGAGAGGCAGCAGGCGCCCGAGGGCGCGACGCTAAGGCCCACCCGCAGCTTCATGTCGAGGGTCACGAGCGCGAGCCCCGCGGAGCGCTCCCTGGCGGGGCCCAGGAGCTACAGGAGCCCTCCTCCTCCTCCGTCTCCTCCTCCTCCTCCTCCTCCTCCTCCTCCTCCTCCTCCCTCCTCCTCCTCCTCCTCCTCCTCCTCCTCCTCCTCCTCCTCCTCCCCCCTCCGTAGTCATTTTGGCTCAAGCATCCGTTCCCATTTGCTCATGTGCCCTCTGCTCTCGCATAGACGGGTTTGCCCTGATTCCCGTATTGTAACCACGATTCTGGCACAAACGACACGACTGTTTTCTACAGCGCGGCGTCTGGCTCTTCTCACGGCAGCAGCGCTGATGACCGCGGGCCAGGGGTTGAACACAGCCACAGCCGCAGCGGCGGAGAGGGTCGCTCTGGATGGCGTCGCCGCCGAGATCACCTGCGCAGCGACAGCGACGATCATGTTGATGAAGGACGGGATGTTCGCTCTCGAGACCAGCCATCCCAACCTCGCCGTCGGGCCCACGCTGCTCGTGGGGACGGAGGTCATGACCGCCATCGCGACCGTCTTACCGGAGGCGCCTCAGCCCTCGCTGTGCCCCGGGGCCGTCGAGCAACGATCTAGGAGGAGGAGCCGGTCCAGGGATCGGGGGCGGCCAAGAGGGGGGCGATGACCAGGGCTGGAGGTGAACGCGGTTATGCTGGATTTCGGCTGTGTCTTGCTTTTTGTTTCGGCAGGGAGGTGCAGGAAAGCAGGTAGAGCAAAACGATAATCAAAACGAAAACAAACGAGAAACAACGTTCAGGTCCAGCCCTGGCGATGAGTAGGGGAGATGGATATCATGGCGTGGGCCATGGTATTCCCTCAGATTTCATGGCGCCTCTTCTTATTTCATTACGTTTCTGCCCCCCCCCCTCTCTGGGCCGCGCACATGCCGCCAGCCATGATTTGCGCCACCCCCTCTTGGACGCCCCCGACAGGGAACGGGGTCGGGACTTCCCGGGCCGCGTTTTAGACAAATCATGATGTCCCGTGGAAGCGTAAGATTCCAGTGCGCCGGGGCTCGGGTCTGCCGACGCTTTTTGACGAGCGCGCCCTGGATTTTGACGGTCCAATTCTCGTGGGATGTCTACAGCACAGCGGTAGGTCGCGTCAAATTTCAGATTGGGTCTCGTCATTTTCATGATGGCCCCGTCAGGTCAACCCAAGTCCCCCGAACCCGAGTCTTACGTCTCCCCGAATGTCGCATGTCCGGGCGGAGACGGGGGTCAATACAAGGGTCAGCCAGAGCGCCAGGTGTTGTAGAATCTTGCAGAGCCAGGGATGCACTGACCCGGGCTAGCGCGCAGGATCCTGCACAGCCCGACCGATCCGGGTATGGATTCAACCCGGGCCAGTGTTTCCCCGATGGTTGCCGCTGCCGCTGTGCGAAGAACGCACAGGCAGCGCATGGGTTCCTCGAAGCCTCCTCGGCGGCGCGCCCAAGGGGGCGTCCCGAAAAAATCGTGACAGCGGTTCATCCTCGCTCCTCCTCCTCCTCCTCCTCCTCCTCCAGCCGCCGTTGTTGCTCGAGCGATTCGTCTGGCGGCAAGCCAGGGACTTTCGCAGCAGCCCCAGCGGGGCTCTCCCCTCTTTCGCCCAGTCGCCCTTCTGAGCCGTGGCCGAAAACAACGAATATACTTGGATGGAGTCCGCATCGCGCACGTAGGGATCGCTTGGAAGATATTGTTTTATCGTGCAGATCGATTGACTTCATCCTAGTCGGAAGCACTCAGGCGCGCGACAGACAGGCCGTGGAACCACTGAGGCGTCGGGCCCAGGGGCAGTGGATCATAGAGAGAGCGAATTCAGCCCAGGACAGTATACTAACAGCAGAACGGGCTGCGCGGTGATACTCCATCGCAACAACCGATTGCACGACATACTGCGAGTCTTGCCAAACCCGCCTGGCGCAGGAGGACGGGCACTCGCGGTCAGGATCAAGCTGATTACCCGGACTACTGCCTAGTGGTGCTCTACTTCCCTCCCCAGTCGCGCAGTCCCGCTAAGGTGCCGCAGTGCCTTGAGACGGTGCGAATCCCGGGCAACTGGCTGGACGAGGCTCTCAGCTCGCTGCAGACGCGTTGCTGCCCCATCGTGCATTCGGACGTGAACAACGGAATCGGCTTCATTCGAGTGGCGACGCAGTGGCAGCGGGCATCTGACGGAGCGGTGGAGCCGAAGGCAGCATCATGAGAAGCCCGACGACTAGGAGCTGGTGAGATCATCCGCACGAGAGCAACGAAGCACCACCTAAAGGCGGCGAGTGCGCAGTGTGGTTTCGCGCCGACAAGGGCGGCTGTTCGATGATAGACTATGTCTTTTGTCCCGACGCACATGCCAGGCGCGATAGTTCGACGGCACCCTGTACGAATGTTGGGATCACAACTGCAGGCCGTCATGGGGCCTCCCCGACAAAAGCATGCACTAGCACTGCTACACATGCGCATGCCGATGTGCTTTTCGCAAATTTACAGAGAACCGAAGCTGGCCTGGGATCGCGGGAAGACCATGAATCCCTTGCGCGGGGGAGGTGATCTGAAGCGCGGTTTCTCGCGACTTGTCGAAGACCGACTGATTCGCGAGGGCCCTGACTGGACGGAACTACTTCGTAGAGGCGATCCCGACGGATTTCGATCGCATGAATCGTGTCCTGGCGGGGGCAGGTCAGGCCCTCTGTCGCCCTGGCCACCGGGAAGAGCATCGAGGCGACGCTCTTCCGCCAGCGTGCTGAGCTGACTGAACTCCGAGCTGGATTACGACGCGGCGATCGCGCAGTCTCGGAGGAGCACCAGATGGGGGTCGAAGAGCAGCTGAAGGAGGTGCCCAGAGCACTCTTCCAACAGGGGCAGCGGGGGCGCGCTGAGCGCAAGCGTATCATGGGGGATGAGATATTGGAGGCTGGGAAGTCACGCGAGTTGGCGATGGCGACGCGGCTGCCGAGGCGAGCTGGCCGCTGCAGATTCCGGGCCCATGAAGCGAGACGGCAGGGCAGTCAGAGCAGCGCAACCACGAACCGAATGGCTGCAGGCCTGCAAGCAGCAAGGCAAGCATGGTGGGATGTCTGCGCAGGAGGTGGAGGCGCCGAGGATGGAGTTGCCCGGAGAAACACTTCCCGACCTGACCCATGAGATGGGAGAGCGAGCCAGGAACGACACCAAACGTGCATCGCGGGCGGCGCAGGAGGCTGAACGTCGCCGGTCTGCACCAGAGCGTTGCCCGCCAGTCGAGCTGCGGCAGTTCAGCTTTCATCCGGATAAACGACTCGCGCGAGGGCGGCGGGGAGTTGGTGCCGACGCGGAGATCCCATGGCATGTCGATCTTCACAAAGGCTACGCTGGGGGGATTCGCGCGATCCGCAGAGCGACTCGCACCCCGCGCCACCGGCGCCGCAGCTCAGCAGTCGGACTTCCCAATAGCGGGGCCCCAGGAGTCAAAGGAAAAAGAGTTCTTCGCATACTTGACCCGGTTGGCAAGCGTTTCTAGTCAGATATCATGAGAGCACCGCCTGACGTGAGCGATCGCGGCTTCATCGAGCATCGCAGACGAGAAGGAGCCATAATTACGGCACAGATCGTGGCCCGACGTTACATTCGCACCCATTTCTTCTGCGAGCTTGAAAGACATGGGCCATGCCTCTGCGTCGGGGAAATTCCCTGAGCTTGATGCGAGAGTCGAACTACACGCGGAGAACGATTCATATTCCCTCTAGCCTTACAACGCTATCGGGAGTCTCGGGTCTGTCTGTCCACTGCCGAGGGGGGCCCACTCTGGCTTCGCCCTGGGGAAGGAGGTGTCATGGGTGACCTGTTCGCGGTCGCGATGTTCCGATGGGGTTTTTCAGCGGGCCGATCTTTCCTTGGAAATACCGTGAGCAGGCCGATCTCTTCGCGGAAAAATTACGAGGCTCACAAAACCGCCCGTTCCTTGATAGCAGAGTGGAAAGACATGAAAGCCAGCCTGGGTCTCGTCAAACACGCAGATTGCATATGGAATGTCACGGTGGCGTCTCGGAATCAGAGGACCTCGGAGTTTTGCAGTGGATGAAGGATTCGGATGGGCTGTTCGAGGAGGAGCTGGAGGGGCTCGGGATCGGGGCCAACCGGAGCAAGCACGCCATCATCTTCACCGTCTCGGGCGCGAGCAGTCCGGGGGTGAAACGCCAGCTTCGACAACGCACCTGAAGGGCCCTAAGCGCGGAAGTTCACGAGTGGGCCAGGCACCTGGGGCCACGCGTCTCGCTGTCTGAAGTCGCGGGCCCTGAGGTCCTGAAACGTAAGGCAGCGGCGTCTGCGGGATCCTACTCTATGGGAAGTTTTTGGTCTCTCAATTGCCCGCGGAAGTATGCGCGAGTGATGCTGATCGGGCTGGCCCAGAACGCATTGCCCAGTGGTCTCGAGTCTAGAGGCGACGGTGATCACTTCTCAGCAGCGTCAGAAGCTCGATTCCGACCTCGCGCGCCTTCGTCGCATTCCGCCCCGGGGTCGCGGCGCTCCGCGGGAGGGAGAGCATGCAAAGACGCGGCCCGCTGCGAAGTTGCTGGCCTACTGGAAGCTTGCGCCCATTGAACAAAAAAAAAAAAAAAAAAAAAACTTCTTGCGCGGCGGCCTGGCCGGCGCCGGCAGATTGCCCGCGCGCCCGGGCACAGTCAAGAGCTGTTGCGCGCACTGTTTGGCCATTTGCCGAATCTCGGCTTCGGTTGCTTCCGATTTGCGCCGGCGGACAAACAGACCAAACGCGTTCCCCCGCGGGCCCGCAGGATTAAGGGGGACTTCCAAAAGGCGCGGGGGATCTTAGGCGAGGAGGCCCCGTTCATGGAGGAGCTCTTGGAGTACCCCAGCAGGTTCGCGGGCCCCGAGGTGGCCACCGACTTCATCAATGTAGATTTCCTTGTGATTAGGTCGACCCAGGTTCGCGCGGCTACCCCCCCTGAATGTCGGCGACCTCTTGAATTTCTCGAACCCCCTGTCCCTGAGGCCCCCGAGAATGGAAATGCGAGTGAGAGGTGAAGGACCAGGAACGCGACGCGAAATTCAGAACGAAACGGGACCTCCTAAACCATCTTCGGGCGGGGCATAATTTCCGAAACGCTGGCCACGTTCTGGGCCCCGCAAACATCTGCGCGGTATGTTGCGTGGTCTTGACGAAAGCGGTCGCGGGTTGCCATTTTTTCCACTTCCTGGTCCGAGGTCATTACCTCCCCGAGGGGGCAGAAAAGTTGCATGACCCAATCCCACCAGAGCCCCTAGAGTGCAAGATCTGCGGGGTCGAACAGGTAGACCTCAACGATCTCCTGCAGCCGCCTGCCGCAGCACCTACCGCGAGTTGCCCACGCCCGCCGCCTTGTGACAGAGCGAACTCGAGATGACCGCCGATGGGGCGCCGAGCTGGATGGCCGCGCCGATGGAGAGGGGCGCCGACGCGCCGCCGGTTCAGCAGCAGGCCAAGAAGGAGAAGGACGCCGGCGGCAACGGATTACGCGAGACGGCGAAGACGATGGGCCGCCTGGCGTTGGTGGGTTCCACCGAGCTACAGGACCTGGCCGCCGCCGCGAAGAAAACGTTCGAGCTGCAGGAGAGGCGTCTTTTCAGAGGCGCTGTTGGCAGCAGGAAAAGCGCGCGAGGCCCAGTCAAATAAGATGTGCGAGCAGGCAAAG